CAAATTTGTTCTTGTTAAAAAAGTTCAAAAATAATTTTGTTTCCCATATTTCACGGTTCACCAAAGACGCAATGGTTTATACATGTATATTTAATATCAATACTTATCAACATCAATGTTTTTCCAATGGCTATAAATACTGGTTGTTTTGCTCAGTTCTATAACCCAAGTTAAACTACAAACAACGTTGTCCTGGTGTTAGTGGATTGATTGTCCAGTGAGATATGGTCTTGAAAGGTGTATTATAGTAATTGAGGTCAAGATCAAAGGTCAAATTGAGGTCAAAGCGAAATTTCCATGGGGAGATTCTGCATGCTCAAAATTAAAACATAAATAGAATGTGTATGTATACACCCCTAGAGACAAAATAACCCTTTATAATGACATATTTTGAGTCGTTCTTTAATATGGAATCATTAGATCTTGGAATATAGGAATAAGTTAGCAAATTCACAGGTTGAAGACACTAAACTAAAGCGTCCAAAATCGGTAATGTCGATCCCTTCTTAATCGGGAGAGTTGGCAAGTATGCAGGTATAAACATGACTAGTCAGTGCCACGTTTTTTTAAAGGAAGTACAAGAAGACAGACGAGCTTGTATAGTGTAACACTTGGCTGTTGTATTTGTTAGATTGATGTGATAAAGCTTTAGTTGATATTAACTGTCCTGATGGTGAATATCTGTATAATCGACACAATATGTTATCACTGTAACGTATCCTGGCTGATACCACCGTTCTCTCTCATAGCATAATCATGTTATAATCGTATTAAATATGGAGCATTTTAGAAATGGCTTTTGTTTTGTTTGCTTTTAATTGAATCAAATATGAAAACTGTTGAATTGATATCTTAGCTATTCTACAAATAGCACGAAAATGGAGAACGAGGTTGACCTACCTACATAGGTCAACCAGTGTTCTATATAAGACACCTACCGGTGTAAGGTGAAATATAAACCCGGTATTTTCCGTGATAACAGTTATTCAGTTACTTCAACAGTTATTTGGACACAAAGGTTATGCCTACACAGATTAGTTGTCATCTTTGTCACTCAGACCCCCATAGGGAGCTGTGGGGCAGGCTATTCGGAGCTACTTGGTGCAAAAATAGGAAAGAAATTTTCTCTTAACTATAATCGTTGAATTCTGACTAACATTCAAAAACTTACCAATAGGGGGCTGCCGGCTGGGCCATTAGGGATCGCATAGAAGAAAAACTTCAAAAGACATCTCCTGTGAAATCGAATGTTAGAGTCTGCTGGTGGATTTCTCAGTCCCTAAGGTTTGCCGCAACATTTATAGCCACAGTTATCTCTTTTGAGTTTTGACACATTTCATACTATACACACTTGACAAAATATCTAATTTGTAATGTACCAATATTCTTCTTTATTTTTAAATTTATAAACTCAGAGGTCACTTTCTGTTTCAACAGAAGTTAAGACCAGTGTGGATATCCAGCTTTTCGGTCCCTGGCATCACCTGTATGATGCAGTGTCATTCATTTTTGGCATACTGTATATCAAGCACCTGTGTGGGTGTTGTGTTCATATTTGATCAACATTCGTAAGTGATCTTTAGATGACGAAGATCAAAATCTGCGGTCAAAAAAGGGGATGACCCTGCTCTCAAGGTGCTGCAGGGCGAAGACATCAGGGCTCACTTGACACATTCAAAAACATCTGAAAATCGTTATTTAAACTTGATCTAATATCGTAAATGATCTTGAGATGCAGAGGATGAGAATCTACTCAATAAGGGACTAATATTAAAGGTCACTTAGTGCAAAACCTTCAAACGACACCTCCTTTGAAAGATATCGACGGATTTAGACCAATATTTCTTCATTTGATCCATGGATGGTGGAGTGGAACTCAGAATGGGCAGAAGGAACCTTCTTTTTAGCTCACCTGCCCAAAGGGCAAGTGAGCTTATGTCATGGTGCGGCATCCGTCGTCCATCCGTTGTCGTCGGTCAACTTTTCCTTTAAATGCCTTCTTCTGAAGAATGAACAGGCATAGAGCCATGATATTTGATTGAAAGCTTCCTTTAGTAGGAGCCCAACAAAGTTAGCGAATGAAAATGACCTTGACCTACTTTCAAGGTCACAGGGGTCAAATATGTCAAACACTTTAGACGACTTTTCCCGAAGAACTAAAAGGTATAGAACCTTTATATTTGTTTGATAGCTTCCTGGGATAGAGCCTGACAAAGTTTGTGAATGAAAATGACCTTGACCTGCTTTCAAGGTCACAGGGGTCAAATATGTCAAACGCTTCAAACGACTTCTTCTGAAGAACTAAGAATTATGTAACCTTCATATTTGGTTGGTGGCTTCCTGGGACAGAGCCTGACAAAGTTTGAGAACGAAAATGACCTTGACCGGCTTACAGGTCACAGAAGTCAAATATGACAAACTCTTTAAACGACTTCTTCTGAAGAACCAAAAGGTATAGAATCTTCATATTTGGCTGGTGGCTTCCTTGGATAGAGCCTGACAAAGTTTGAAAAAGAAAATTACCTTGACCTACTTTCAAGGTCACAGTGATCAAATATGTCAAACTCTTTAAACAACCTCTTCTGAAAAACTAAAAGGTGTTGAACCTTCATATTTGCCTTGTGGCTTCCTGAGATAGAGCCCGACAAAATTTGAGAATGAAAATGACTTTGACCTTATTCAAGGTCACAGGTGTCAAATATGTCAAAAACATCAAAAGACTTCTTCTGAAAAATCGAAAATTATAATATTTGGCTAGTGGCTTCTTTGGATAGAGCCCACCAAAGTTTGCAAATTAAAATGACCTCAACCTACCTTAAATGTCACAGAGGTCAACAACATTTCAAAGGATTTGTTCTGAAGAACCAAAAGGAATGGATTCATAAGATTTGGCTGGTAGCTTCTTGGGATAGAGCTATAAAAGTTTGAGAAGGAAAAGGAATTGACACACTTACAAGGTCACAGGGAAAAATATGTCAAACAACTTTTGAAGAAGAACGATGGCCAAAAAGCATAAAATCTTAAAATAATATTTGACTGGTAGTTTCAACAAATGGAGCTGACAAAGTTTGCGAGTGACAGATTTGTAGCACAACATAATATTTAATGAGAATATTTGCTATGACTGCTTAAATATTCAGGTGAGCGATACAGGCCCTCTGGGCCTCTTGTTTATGTCTGCCTTTCAAATGAAAAGAGACATATTGTATATCATTACTGCATCTTTCAATTCTTCTGTTCTCCTAATTGGAACTTGACAAGGCTGCAGATGTTTGACAAAGCTGCAGATGTTTGACAAAGCTGCAGATGTTTGACAAGGCTGCAGATGTTTGACAAGGCTGCAGATGTTTGACAAGGCTGCAGATGTTAAAACATTAAAGATAAAGAAACTTAAAAGATGCTTGTATCACCCACAGTAGGTGTGCATTGCACTGCACCTCTGGGTCAAAGGTCAAATAAGTCAACATTTTCTTTGAAGTATTGTCCAGGCGGTAAATTTTGAAATGTTGAAGATATCTTAAAGAACTTGTATACCTGCATAGCCAGCTGAAGATGTACAGCGCAAAGAATTAGTTCACATGCAGTGACATTAACTCAAGGTCAAAGGTAAAAAAATGCAACGTTTTCATTAAAATTTGGGAAACAATTTTATTTCTCAAGGAAACCCAACAAAATTACAAAAGATACCTTCTTAGAGAAGACAACCATGCATTATGAAAGGACAGAATAAATTGTCGTAGGATATTTACATAAACCATGTTCAAGTACAATCAATTTATCATAATGGATGTTACTTATACAAGAAAATATTGACCTCAGCAACCAGTCGGAGGCTGCAGGGACTATCTTGAAGATACATTAGTATAAAATCATGCATACTCCTACAGGGGGTCTGGAGATATGAACACATACCAATATAATATCATCTTCTAAGCTTATAGTTGTTATTTTAGTTGAGTTTTATGAACACATGAGCTGTAGTTCACAGGTGAAATTGTTTACATTAGAAGTGTTACAGGTACACAAGTAAACAAGACAAACAGATCTACAGACTAGCTCAGCTCTAAATCATATTAGCTTGATAAACAGAATTAAGGGATGAATATAACAATGGGTTTGCAGAATAACAGACATACACCTGCTATAACAGATATCGCTATATAATAGACACCTGGTATAACCAATATCTCTATATGATAGACACCTGCTATAACAGATATCGCTATATAATAGACACCTGCTATAACCAATATCTCTATATGATAGACACCTGCTATAACCAATATCTCTATATGGTAGACATCTGCTCTAACTGACATCTCTATATGATAGACACCTGCTATAACTGACATCTCTATACGGTAGACACCTGTTATAACTTACATCTCTATATGATAGACACCTTCTATAACTGACATCTCTATATGATAAGACACCTGTTATAACTGACATCTCTATATGATAGACACCTGCTAATAACCAATATCTCTATATGATAGACACCTGCTATAACTGACATCTCTATATGATAAGACACCTGCTCTAACTTTCATCTCTATATGATGGACACCTGCTATAACTGACACCTCTATATGATAGACACCTGTTAAAACTGACATCTCTATATGATAGACACCTGTTATAACCAATATCTCTATATGATAGACACCTGCTATAACTTACATCTCTATATGATAGACACCTGCTCTAACTTACATATCTATAAAAGACACCTGCTATAACTGACATTTCTATAGTATAGACACCCTCTTTAACTGACATTTATATGTGGGAAGACACTTTCTATTTAGAACTGACATCTCTATATAAATGACACATTTTGATTTAAATCACTCTTGTATTAGAGCTTTATCGGCTAGTTTAACGACAGTATATAAAATTTTGTAATAGAGTATTTTGTATGAGTGCTACACCTATCTCATATTAGTTGCATGTGGCAAATTGCAATATCATGAGTCATCCTGACAGGTTAACTAGTGTTGTTATCTCCCCTGGTAATTCAGATGGCGCCACAATCGCTAAATCCACCTTCGCACCTGTCACAGAGAATCTTCATAACCGGTAATCATGGAGTCCAAATACGACCGTGTCGCCTACCCAGAAAATGTGTACCTCCATTCCGATGCGGACATGGAGGATTTCGGAACTGGAGTGTATCCAGTGTCCGTCATATCAAGAAAACCCTTTCATGACGATTCGATCAACTTCGGTTGTTTTAAGGTGCGACGCAAATTCTCGACATTGCTGATAGTTTTCGGTGTAATTTTACTTTTACTGGTGATCACGATAGGTATTGGAATCCACGCGGCCGTGGCACACAAGGCGACACAGGAAGAAAAGCACATGTGTAACAGTGGCACAAGCCCTAACGCAAAGGACTTCGGTAAGATTGGCTTGTCGTCAGAACCAGCTTGGGGGTGGGGAGATAACCTACCCAGGAAGCTATAGCTAGCTATGACTAATTGAGTCAGTGACCTTACTCCCACATTGTTTATGTACATATTCCTGGTAAGGTATTGTCTTTTATTTCAAGACATATTCGTTCAAAGCATAATGACATAAGCTTTTCAACAGCAGTTCAGTGTTATTTGTCTTATTATTTTTAATCAAATCATCTAGAAAACAAGCTGTAATAAATATATAACCTACTACCTACATTTGTATAGCTAGTTTTAGTCTCTGTAACATGTTGTTATAGTAATTAGGTGTAGAAGCCGAAAGCAAAAAATATGTGATTCTTTTCTTCCTACCGAAGTTGAAAACTCTGAAATATTTTATAGCCAAAATAAGGAAATCAGATTTTAATAGTTTCCATTTAACTCAGTTAGTAGAATTCCACTCATAAAGAAATTGCAGAATATTTTGAAATTCATTTCAAGAAATTATCTGATAATTAAAATCGAACTTTCCTACAAATTACATATTTCAATTGTTCTTGATTATGAATGACTTGAAATCATGAGGATAAATAAAATCACATTTCTAGTGGATGCATGCATGTACAAAAATATGCTTGGCATCTTAAGACGGATATCAATATTTCATTTAAAATTAAAACAAAATTAATCATCAAGTGCTTTACTGCATGTTGTTTATCTGCAACAATATTTAGTCTTTAATTTAACATGGAAATAAGTTGACAATTACTTCCTTTATAATGATAATACTGAATTTTGATCTTATTCAATCCTTTCGTCGTCATTGAACAACACCATTAATTATGTGACCAGTTTCTGTACATGTGCACATGCAGCTATTTATAACAGACATATGTAACGTAATACTGCTAGTGTCCAGAAAGATTGAAATGTGTAGACAGAGAAAACATTTACAACGTCTTTTAATGTTTGAATCTGATTCACAACAAACTATTTTGTATGAGATATATACTTACATTTACTAAGATTATGAAGATGAAAATTCACAGAAAACATCAAAGAAAATCATCTTTTTGGGCATTGCCTTCTGGGTAGAAAGATGAACCAGATTACATGACAAGCTAAATATATTGAGGTTACACAACGAGTGGTTGTTGAATATGGTATTTATTTCACTCGAGTTAGTTAATTTTCAAAAGTTACAAAAGGCACGAGCTTTAGCAAGTGTCTTTCTGTAACTTTTGAAAATTAACTTACGAGAGTGAAATAAATAATTACCATACTCAACAACCACGAGTCGTGTGATCTGTTTCTACCACAATCTCATGATCAGTCGGTAATAACATACACACATGTGTTTGTTGACAAGGCTGGCGTAGTGATATGACCCATTTGTAAAAAGTCACTCATTAATATTCACTCATTAATATTCGGCAACAAATTTGTGAAAAAATAAAATAGATGAACGACTTTAAATATTATATATATAGAGTAGCAGTATTGCATTAATTTATATAAATTAACCACGGACTATATGCGCGTAAGCATATCGTACGAAGTCTGCCTCCCGCCAAGTGATGAACCGTTGTAGACAAACTTATCGCTGTCAATATCCAAAACCATAGGCCTACGTTTCTTCGTGACGGTTCTATGGTTGACGTTTATAGTGAAAGTTCAGCCATAGTCAGACCGTCTAAATAGCGATAACGGGACTTTGGGAGAATGAAATATTTCCCCACACTGTGACAGATCTTGTTTTGGTTTCACGACAACACGCGACGGTGTGATGTCAAAACGATATCGAGCGTCTATAACAACTTTGCCGGAAACTAGCGATCAAATCTTTAAGTATCATCTTTTGATATTGCCTTAATACCCCCCCCCCCCCCCCCCCCCCCCTTTCCGCATAACCTCAAAAAGTCACCAACATTTGTCGGATGTTGACAGCCGACAACTTAAACAAAACGGCAGGTGGCAAAAAGCATGTGGAAAAAGTCTTCCCGGTCAAAGTTCATCTTCTCGACCAATCAAAACTCTTGAAGGTCATATACCACGTGTGGTATATAACTCATATTTATCTAACAGTCTACATGTTTATACAATGATCTGAGAGTGGAATAACACAGCGTATTGTGGTAGAAATATATATACACAATAAAGAGTTGTATTATATCAGAATTTTACTTTTTTTCATTTCTGTTGATTATCAATGCAATAAAAAGGTAATTGTAGTCCAACTTAATAACTCCTCTACAGGTATTCCTCCTCTTCTGAAACGTCTTTGCAGACATGAGTCTGCCTTATGTATTAACTTTCAGTTTGTACCCAAAAACAAATGATTTAAAAAAAATTGTGGTGTGCATGCAGCGATGTGCAAAAGCTAAGAGCACAGAAACAGGTCCTACAGTGATAATCTTATGTCGACATGATCCTCCAGAAGCATAATCTATTTCTATGGTTCATTTTTTTTCTGTGGCATTTCACCACTTTTTGCGTATCATAAGGTTTAAGTAATTCATATACATGTACATCATCACTCATGATAAGTGATCATGGTTTCTCTATACTTGCAGGTCTATTGGTAGAGCCTATGATTAAAAACTCAGGGTCAGCAATCTGCTTTGATGCAACAAAGCCTGATACATATCTACAATATCTCAACAGATTGGATTACTTCACACATGGTAAGTACATACAAATAGTAACAGAAATTTGTAGATATTGAAATGGCAGTATTGACGAATATGTTCAGTAATTACAATACTGCAAAGACAATGACAAGATAGTCTAAGGTGAATGGCTAGGTGACAGTCTAGGGTGAATGGCTCAGCTAGCCATTCACCTTAGACTGTCACCTACCCATTCACCTTACACTATCACCTACCCATTCATCTTAGATAGTCACCTAGCCATTCACCTTAGACTGGCTCTTAGCCATATCCATTCACCTTAGATAGTCGCCTACCCCTTCACCTTAGATAGTCACCTAGCAATTCACCTTAGACTGTCTCCTAGCCATATCCATTCACCTTAGATAGTCGCCTACCCATTCACCTTAGACTGTCCCCTAGCCATATCCATTCCCCTTAGATAGTCCCCTAGCCATTCCCCTTAGATAGTCACCTAGCCATTCCCCTTAGATAGTCCCCTAGCCATTTATCTTAGATAGTCACCTAGCCATTCCCCTTAGACTGTCACCTACCCATTCACCTTACACTATCACCTACCCATTCATCTTAGATAGTCTCCTAGCCATTCACCTTAGATAGTCGCCTACCCATTCACCTCAGACTGTCACCTACCCATTCACCTTAGACTGTCACCTACCCATTAACCTTAGACTGTCACCTAGCCATATCCATTCACCTTAGATAGTCACCCAGCCATTTATCTTAGATAGTCACCTAGCCATTCACCTTAGACTGGCTCTTAGCCATATCCATTCACCTTAGATAGTCGCCTACCCCTTCACCTTAGATAGTCACCTAGCAATTCACCTTGGACTGTCACCTAGCCATATCCATTCACCTTAGATAGTCGCCTACCCCTTCACCTTAGATAGTCACCTAGCAATTCACCTTGGACTGTCACCTAGCCATATCCATTCACCTTAGATAGTCGCCTACCCATTCACCTTAGACTGTCACCTAGCCATATCCATTCACCTTAGATAGTCGCCTACCCATTCACCTTAGATAGTCACCTAGCAATTCACCTTAGACTGTCACCTAGCCATATCCATTCACCTTAGATAGTCACCTAGCCATTTATCTTAGATAGTCACCTAGCCATTCACCTTAGATAGTCACCTAGCCATTCACCTTAGACTGTCACCTAGCCATATCCATTCACCTTAGATAGTCACCTAGCCATTCATCTTAGACCGTCACCTACCCATTCACCTTAAACTGTCACCTAGCCATTCACCTTAGAGGTTTAAATCTTTAGAAATCTTTCTTCTTCTGTAGCATTGGAGGGATTTAATGTAATGAAAATAATTTCCCTCCCATGATTGCTTTATTATCCAGGTGAGCAATACAGGCCCTCTGGGCCTCTTGTTCAGCTTTCATTTAATCTTTACTATATTTGTCTCTGTTCCTTGCAGATTATAGCGCAATACCCCAGACTGGGGAGGAATATGTGGACTGTACAAATGCTACTGCACCAGACGGCAAGAAATGTCGGTTTGACATTCACAAGTTCGGGAGTCTGTGTACACATGGAAAGGACTATGGGTACAACCAAGGGAGACCATGCGTACTGTTAAAACTGATGATGGTAAGGTCATTCTCAGCTGAGCAGCTAAAAACATGTATGTGACGCGCCCACAAAGTGGTTCATATACAACTTCTCAAAAGCAACTTGATATTATTATATTGGTTTCTTTTTAATTACTGGGTAGTCACTTCATACAATGTACCTAATCTAGACTAAATTGATAGATTGGCTTACATTTAATTTTCATATGCCCATCAACAAATTTGACAGTGTTTATTATGGTATGGGGAATATTCAACCGACAGTCCATCTGTCCACTCTTTGATTTCCACAAGATAACTTGCTTTATTCAATTTTGATGAAACTTTATATGCATATATTTGAGCACTGAGGCTATGTTTGAAGTGGAGCAAAATCTGTGCATAATTAATTAGCATACTGTACTCTGATTTGTTGACAGTTACTGCACAATATCTTTGTCAAATATGACCGAATCGTGATGAAACTTTTATCAATATCTATATCATACAATGTCAAACGCTAAACTCAAAGGTGAGCAAAATCTGTGTATAATTTGTTTGCATATCCGCACAGTAAATTAGTCAAATATGCCAGGATTCTAAGGAGATTCAACACTTTGTCTTAAAATAAAATCTGTCAGTAATAAATAAACAAGAGAAATATCTTTGGTTTTCATGGTGTAAGATGAATTTATTTATTAATATTATTAGCAGACAGGGGCAATTTCAATTTTTATTTTCTTGGTTTGAAATATGTACAAAGGGAGACAATTCCTATGCACAGCAATCCTTTTAAAGATTATAAAGGATGAAATGTATATATGCCTTCAGCTAAGGCCAAATAAAATTAATTACTTGGTTCTCAGGCCAATTTTTTTTCAAAATAGATGCGGCAGGGCGGTATTTATTTATTTCATTTTACGTGGCAAAAACGAGACGAGGGCGATATTTTTTTTATTGTATAGTTTGTAAACCTTTCATTGTGGACATTACCTTGTCTTTTTATAGTTGTGTAGAGACCCGTCATAGAGCAAACCACGAAAATCCCCCCACGATGTTCCAGACGAGAATCACGAACCCCCCATTCCTTATTTGCAAGACTAATAAGTCATAATCATTTTAACGCTTGCCTGTATCTTAATCCTTACATTTATTCAAACGTTTTCGGGACTTGGGTGACTATTGAGTAAAAACGACATGTGGACCAATTTTCCGGATTTTTTAAATATGGCGGCTGGTGCATTAACATTTTTTTTTTATTACTTTCACAATTAAATCGGCAATGCGCACGGTGCCTTGAACAGTGCGAGGGCCTGAGAACCAAGTAATCTTTTATTTTTTGCCTAAGTTGGTCGAGTATCGTATGTTTCCTCCTTTCACCACATTTCAAGAATAGTTCTCAACTTCCCTGAGTAAAACAGAACAAATGTTGTTTCTTCTCCTTACACTTCCATATTTTCATACATTTTGACACATAATTTGCATCAGAACGTTTATTAAGTAGGTCAGATTGGCATGGGAGGGGCATATATTCTTCTGCCCTGCAGTACATGTACTCTTGTTCCTAGATGCTATGTTTGTGAACATGTTTGGTATATATACCAGAGATGTATGTAGAAGTAAATAATCTAATGCTTTGAAATACAGTGGATACAAGAATACTGTTAACTTCTTTATTAATGGGATATATTAATATTTCTATGATATTGTTGGAATTCTGAATATTTCTTATATAAATGATGACACTGATGAAAAAACATATATTGAGACTTTTGTGTTGATATTTTGTTAAGCCAAAAGGCATTGTACCAGAAGTGTTTGGGAAAGAGGATACTGTCACAAAAACGAAGCTCCAGAATGGCCTGTGGAGTGGTGACCATGTGGCTGTGACTTGTGACGGCGCGGTATGTATATAATAGACAAAGACAAAGTTAATGTGCTCCCTCAAGGGATCAACCAACAGACCACATACATTTTAGTCCAATATTCCACCACTGAGCTAAAGTCCCTGCCACTGAAGCCAGTAAGATGACTTTGACACTGTATTATACACATCCTTTGCATATATTAGGGCGTCAACGATACATTAACATGACAATATGATACATATCACGATACTGTGGTTACAGTACATATCACGATACTGTGGTTACAATACATATCACGATACTGTGGTTACAGTACATATCACGATACTGTGGTTACAATACATATCACGATACATATAGTAAGAGTAGAAGCAAAGCGAAAAGATAGGTTGCAAATTTTTAGTGACAATATTACAACAGGAAACAGACTTGATCCAAAATGGGCCTGACTTTACAGCTTCACACAATTTACGTCTTTCGACGTGTATGACGAGCTAAATCTGACACTTGCTGGGGGGTGTAACCTCCCAAAAAATATCATACGGCATTCAAAATATCGTGATATATCATCGTATGATATATCGTTGCAGCCCTAGCTAGGATATATCATTGTTCATCTGTTACCATGTTGACCTACATATGATACACATCCTTTACGTATATTGAGGTACATCTTTTAATATGTTGACCTTCATATAATACACATCCTTTACGTATATTGTGGTACATCTTTTAATATGTTGACCTTCATATAATACACATCCTTTACGTATATT